ATCTTTTAAATATTTTTAATTATTTAAAACAAATATTAATTTTAATTGGATATTTAATTATCAATTAAAAAAGAATATTTTTTTAAAAGTTTTATATAATTTTTAAATTAAAATATCTTAAATTCAATTATTATGAATACAAATGAACATGAAGTTGAAGGTGTTAAATTGATCCAATCACATAATGCATTCTATAACCCAGCACAAAAATTAAATAGAGATTTATCTGTCTTGGTAATTAACACGTACATTGAAGAAATAAAAAATCCCAAAATATTAGAAACAATGTCAGCTACAGGTTTAAGAGGTATCAGATATTGTAAAGAAATAAAAAATAATCCACAAGTATTTCTAAATGATATTTCAGAGAAATCCATTGAAGAAATCAAAATTAATTTAAAATTAAATGACATAATCAATGCAAGTGTTACTAAGAATGATTGCATAAATTTAATGAATAGCAATAAATCATTTTACAATGTCATTGACATTGATCCTTATGGATCATGTAATGTTTACGTAGAGAGCGCATTTAGAGGAATAAAGCACAATGGATTGTTATGTATTACTGCTACAGATACAGCAGTTCTCTGTTCTCAAAGAGTCAAATGTTTTAGTAGGTATGATACTTTGATTGTAAGAGAAAGTAGCTGTCATGAGATAGCTCTGAGAACATTGCTATCCTTTGTTTCCAGATGTGCAAGTAGAAACAACTGTTCAATTGAACCATTGCTTTCTATATCAGTAGATTATTACGTAAGAATCTTTTTAATTGTTAAAAAAAGTGAAACTTTAGCTAAAAATACTTTTCATAACAATTCATATTTTTTGATATGCCAATGCTTTAATAGAAGAGAAATCAGAATGAATGACAGTGAAGTAAACAATGACTGTGAATTATGTCATAAAAAAATGAAGCTTTGTGGACCATTTTGGAATAAACCACTCCATAATAAAGAATTTATTAATAAAATGTTAAAGAATGATTTAGAAAAGAGAATATTAGGATTCCTAAATATCATGAATTCAGAATTAGATACTCCTTTTTACTACTGTTTAAATGATTTAAGTAAACAAATCAAATGCTGTACTCCTCCTTTAAGGAAGATTGTTAATGCATTATTAAATGCTCATTATAAAGTATCCTTAACTCATTGTAAGTTAAATTCTATTAAGACTAATGCTTCATTGAATTTAATTTATTTTTTAATTAATAGATACAATAAGAAGGAAGATTTGTTTAAAGATCAATTTAAAGGATTAGAATTTTCATTTGATGATAATTCTAAGACTAATGAAGTAATAAGAGATGATTTTTATAGAGGATTAATGTTCTCACACTTAGGTCCTTTAAAAAGAGTATAAAATAAATAAATTTTATTTAAAGAAATTTAATATTTAGAAAATGAAAAAAATATTGTTTTATGTATTTACAAAGATAACAATAAATTTCTTTATTTCTTTATTTAATTATATTTTTTTATTTAATTAATTTAATTATATTTTTTTTATTAATTAATTTAATAAATTATAATTAAATAATTTAATATAAGTCATTTTATTCATAATTAACTTATATTGTAAACAAAATTATTGATAAATTATGAAGCAAAAGAAATTAAAATATAAGTAAATTGAAACATAAATCAATTAATTTAAATCAATTAAACCAACATAAATTCATAATAAATGCCTTCAGAATAAATTAACAACCAATAATTTTTGATGCATAAAATAACACAACACATTATATTTAAATTTATTGTAAAAAATAAATTAAACCCTTATCCATGACTGTAACAGCACAAACATACAGAGCTAAGACAGATAGAAACTTAGAGAAGAACTATGCTACTTATATTAGGGAAATAAAAACAAATCTTATGGAAAGAAAGGATGTAGTAGACTCATTAGAGTGTATGGTGTACATAGATACAAAAATATTCACAAGTAGAGCACTTTATAAGGAAATCATAACTCTTGTTAAAGAATGCATAACTGAAGATAATGCTCAGCAAATATTTAATTTATGGGCTGATTGGATTATTCATCAGAGAAAGCTTGAGTTTTTAGATGAGTTTATTTTTGAAACACTTGCTTATAACAATGCCTCTATACTTACACATTGTTATATTTTACTCTTTGAAGCATTTGATGAATATTTTTATAAATTTGTTGATTTATTTGAAGAAATAAAAGAATTATCTTTTATTTCTAATGAATTAAAGAAAAGAATGCAGGAGAATATTTTTAATACAAGAATTAACAGATAAAATAAATTTATGAATATTTTTATTTTGTTTTAATTTTTAATTCATTAATCAATTATTTCTAATGTAAATATAAAATATATGCTTTAAATAAATAAAGTCATAGTTTATTATGAATTCCACTAAAAAATATATTCCTTATAACATTTAAAGCAGAGTTATATGTTACATTATGATTTGGTATATAAAACCTATCAAAGTATTTTTTTACAGGACCCCATTGCATGAATATACTATTCATTCACAATCAAAACCCATAAAAAATGTATATTTTTAGTTTTAAAATTTAAAAAATATCAAAAAAATACATGAAATATTTTCTTATTGATTCTAAAACTTTAGCAAATAAAATACTTTCTTAATTTTTAAAATTTACAATCTAAAATTCTTTGTAAAAATAAAAATAGCCTTTTGAAATTCAGGATATTTGTACATGAATTTTCTTATAAATTTATAATTTTGTTTCCTAAAATATAAAAGAACTTTCTATATTAGATGGATCTTTTACTAACGTAATTATCAATGTAATATATTTATATCTTAGGATTTTTAAAAATATTTGATACAAATATTATTTTAAAACATTTATATTTAAAATTACTTAATTTTGGAGGAATATATGGAAAGAATTACTGTTTAATAAAATTTTAAATTATTGAATTAGTTTAACAAATTGTTTTTCTCGCTTCATATTTCCTTCTTTTAGTTAATTTATGTTGAATTTTTTGCATTGATATAAGTCAATGAAATAATTATAAATAAATTTAAAATTAAATTTCATCTCAAGAATCTTACAAAAGATTAACAACCTTTCTATGTGAAATGACCATAAAAATCCTTACATATTGGAAAATATAATAAACTTAAAAATATTTATAAATATTTTTGTGGATGGAAATGATAATTTCTAATTTAAAAATGAAATTTTTAATGTTAAAAAATAAGCTTGGGTCTTTACATACATCCTTTCTCATTTCTATATAAAGATGGATTGGAAAATATCATTTCAAATAATTTATACACATTTGATAAATCTTATTTTTTAGGTAAAGCTCTAATATAGCAAAGAAAAGCAAGAATCTCAAATAATTGTTTAAATTGATCCAATAGCCTATGCCATAGAAAATTAAAACAATATCTCTTTTTACAACTAAAGATACATCACAAATAAAATGTTTAACTACATTTGTTGAATTCAAAATAAATTAAGTTATTACAGATAAAAAAATAGTTAACAAAATCAGTGTTATAGTTTTTTAAAGATAAATTAATGATAAAATAAAAAATGACAGACGGATTAAGATTTTATTATTTAACAGATTCTGTAAAAAGCAACAATATAAATAAAAATATTTTGAAAATCCTTGATTATTATGAACGCAGAATTGAAGAAAATAAAAAAATTTAACTAAGCTTTACAATATTTTCAAATAAAATATAATTTTTAAAGGTCTTTGCTACTGGAATATGTGTATTTCATATTTGATAGGAAAAATATATATATTTATAATTCTTATCTTTAATTATTTTTAGCTATTTATACCTTTAAACTTCTTGAAAGAGAAAAACTAAATTAAGTAATCAACTAATGCATATGTTCTTGGAAGAATCTTAATTAAGATTTTCCAACAACCATAAAAACTATATTTTATAAATGTAACTTAATATGTTAATTATTTAGTATTAACAAGAAAAATGTAAAATATTTTTTTATAATTTAAATTAATATTCTTAGTTACGTTATTCAAAAACCTCTTTTCTTTGGTTAATATTATATCAAAACGCATAGTTTCGATTATAATACTCTTATTTTATCAGCTTAAATAATGGAGAATGCAGGAATTGAACCCACGACCTCTCAAATGCGAATCAAGCGCTCTACCAACTGAGCTAATTCCCCACTTAATTTTCAATAAAAAAACTAAGTTTTAAAATAATAATTTTTAGTCATTTAAATTCTCAATTATATTTTTAAATGCTACCTAAGAGAATAATTATCAGCGGAGCTAGTGGTTCAGGTAAATCCACAGTGATCAACTATTTGCTAGAAAAGTATCCCGAAAAATTCAGATTGAGTGTCAGCCATACTACACGTAAGAAAAGAGAAAAGGAAACTGATCACAAGGAATATCACTTTATATCCAAAGAAGAATTCCTTAGGAAAATTGAGAATAATGAGATGTTTGAATACCAAATATTTAATAATGAATATTATGGAACATCCTTTGCAGAACTAAATTCCTGTGATAAAACTACATTGTTTGATTTAGGAAAAGTGGGTGTTGAAATTGCTAGACAGAACTGTATAAGTGGTATTTATATATCTATACTATGCTCACATGATCTTTTGTTAAGTAATTTAATTCATAGAATTGGTAAAGAAAATTTAAATGATAAAACTCTAAATGACATTTATGGAAGATTAGAAGAATATAAAAGGGATGAATCATTTTTTACTGGTGATTTATTTGATTATAAAGTATTTAATATTTCAATTGATCAATTGAGGAAAGATGTTTGTAACATTCTAAATCTAGAATTGAAGTAAACTGAATAAATAATTTATGAGTTTAATTGACAGTATTTTTGCTATTTAATAAACCAAAATTTTATCTCATTTTTAACATTATAAATGCTAAAATTTATTATTTTTTGGGAGAGAGTAAAAAAATTTACTTGATTAATCGAGATAGCAAATAAAATGTATATTTTTTTGCATAAAAAGACAGGATTAAGAGGACTTCCTGCGCAATATTTGTTTTTGAATGCAAAGGTAAAAAGAATACTTCTCAATAACTATAAGTAAATCATATTTTCCCTATAAATAAGCCTAAAAATCATATAATTGATAAATGTACATTTATCCTACTTTAGTTTCTCTATGATCTTCAATTTTTTACAATTATAGCACAACAATCTCTTATGACTAAACAAACATATCTGAAAGTTTTTTTTCTTTTTAAATTTTCTAATTATCAAATTAGAAAATTTGGTTTGATTTTTAATGAAAAATGGTAATGCAATAAAAAATTCATATGAATCATATTATTTATTTATATTTTTTTATGTACTTATTAATAATTTAATTATGAACCTTAAACATTATGTAATAGATATAAGAATATAAAAGTTGTATTTCTTAAGTAGTAAATATTATGTATCTATTTTATAATATTTTATTAGAGAAAGATAATATGTTTTGATTATACTTCTATTTTTTTTAGTTTTTCATTTGTATCTTGAATCAATACAACCTCAAACTTTCTTAATAACAATGTTTAAAGTTTAATTTATTACAATGATTGAATTAAGCGTAATAATTTTATTAATATATTAAGAAATTATATTTTACCTTATATGCCAATTTTACCAATAATAAATCAAGTTTCAAATTTTAGCTATCTTTAATAAAATTAATCTTTTATAGATTTACTATAAATTATTTTAATGTAAAAATACTTTATTATGTATATTATCTCAAATACTGAAAATATTTGAAAAAATGTTACTGATTTATATTTAAACAATGTATTTCAAGAGATTTTAATTGCCTAGAATGTAATTACTAAAAAAATTTGTAAATTAAAAACTATTTATAGGGAAATTTATGTAGAAATACGATTTAAAAGCTAAAAGAATTTAAAAATAATTTTCTATTTTTTAATTTCTTTTTAAAAAATTTAAAATTTCATAGAAAGATTTCTAGAAATTTTAATTAAATATTATTGACATCAGTAATTCTTTAGCATTAAAAACTTTGAATAGGTTAACAAGAATAGCACTTAAAAAGGTAAAGATTCAATTGGTTAATAACAAAGAAATGTTTTATGAACACTATGCCTGGAAGAGCAAGCTTCGTCGTATAAAGTGACGAAACCATGCTAAAATTCAAATGCAAAAATCACAGAAAAGATCCTTTTATATAAGAGTGGCGCAATCTACATGATTGAAGTAGCTAAATAAATATATAAAATCTTTGGTTCTCTTCTTTATAATAAAAATCAGAAATTATTTACCTATAATTTGCTCTCAATTCATGCCTGCCTCTATAATTTTATCAAATGAAAATAAGAAGCAATGATAAACTTTTATAGAAGGATTATGCTTTTTATTTTATGCCATAAATATTAATTTATTGCCAAAAAAATGAAAATAACAAACAATTTGTAGAAGACATTTGTAATCAACTTAAGCATTGGGGTAAAAAATAAAAGATACTAAACGTATGCACAGAAAGAATTTTAGGTAGAGTTGTCTTTAATTTTAATGGCAGGTGCAACTTTTTAATATTTTTATAAAGATAGATAGCTTTTTTTAAGTTTTCTCCATTTTTGCTTCTTTATTTGATGCCCATTGTATTTATTTAATGAAGCAAATTTAAATTAAAAATATGTACTTTTTTATTGCATGAATCTTTACTTCTTGTATGATATTGTCATCTTCTACAAAAAGCTTTAAACAGAAGTGTTTTAAATATATATTTTATATTTTGTAGGCTTTAAATCTTCAAAATACAATTTCCATATTTGTCGACATAGTTTATACTTTTTAGGACCTTTCTTAATCTTGTTTAAATATTCTTGGAATCAAAAATAAATTATTAGTATGTTTTTTAGCGTTTTTAGATATACTTGTGCTAAACTTTATAAAGAATATTTAGCAACAAAAAGAACTGATTTTTATAATGGTATTTCTGTTTTGGGAAACATTTGGATGAATAAAAAAGATCTATCATAAATAAAGTTATAAATAAATAGTAAGAATGAAGATATATAAAAACATCCCCTATCCCACAAAAGAAGGATTATAATATAAAAAATAATAAATAAGAATAATAATGAAAAATATAAAATTTAAAATATCTCATATGTGGCTTCTCGCCATCATCTTATGACAATACATACACTGGAATATGAAAAAGTTATTTATAGACGTTGTCTATAAAAATTAAAAAATTCAACAAAATAAAATACCTTTTAACAAATTTGTTAGAAAATACTAACATTATTATTTCCCCGCCAAAGTGCGCAGAAATAAAAATATAAATACGAAGAATTAAATAAACCATATTTCCTTTAAATATTAATAGAACTAATAAAAATATATATAAGCCCAAAGGTATAGGGAAGGAGCTTAAAGCTCTATATCTCAGAAACTTACAAGACAAAGTGTTCCGGGCATATCACAAAATTAAAGAAAAACAAGAATACGAAAAACTGGAAAAAAATATTAAAGTTTCGGTCTGACTAAGTATTTATTTCTACTTTTAAGCCTTCTTGAATAAAATATGTATTTTATAAATTAAATCAATCTTTAAAAAAATACCAATTAATATATGTAAATTAATTATAAAAAGTCATGTTTTATTATTATTAATAGAATCATAGAAAATTAAATAAACATATCTGAAATGCATACAAAAAGACCCTACAACACCAGAATATGTGTAATATTGTTTATCGGCCTCCTTATACATAATATTTAGTAAATCTTCAAATGTATAGTCTTCAAAACAAAATAGATTATTTTGTAAACATTTGTAGCTATTTTTTAAATCATTAAAGGAAAATCTTTTTGCAAGCGTTTCTTTATATTCGTACAAATTTAAAGGTCTCTCATTTACCTCTTTGTAAGAATAAAAATTAAAGTAATATGTAATAAAAGAAATTGATGAGATAAAATATATATGTTCTCTAAAGGTTTTATATTTAAATTGACACAAATCATCTATTATTTTAGTAAATTTAGAACAGATGGATGCATTTAAAAATCCATTAAGATTCTTATGTCTTTCAATTAAATAATCTTTCAGTTTATTTTGATATTTTATATCACAGATTATATTCTTGAGGAATATTTTATTATCAATACTAATCTCATAATATGCTTCAAAAGCTTTAGTGTTGTAATTAAGTAGTAGATCATAGTATTCATAAGATCGTTTCCTTTTTTTAAATCCAGGACAATTTAATGCTTCATCTTTAACATAAAATTCACCATTTCTAATTTTTTGTTTTCCGTGTTTTAAATCGTTTTCAACTGTTTTAGATGAATCTTGACAAAATATGCCCCGTTCTTCGCAAGGTTTCAATGAATCCTTGACTACTTCAGCATAAGTTCTTGAAATAAGTGGTTTTGTTACCAGTTTTTCTACAGCAGGACTTTCTTCTTTGTCTAAAGGATTTTGATTTCTGAGAACTTCATCTGTATTTTGATGTATTTTTTGACCTAATTCATCGACATTGCCATTTATTAGTTCTGTTTCTTCGTCAGAATCAAATAAATTTCTTGGAAGATAGAAGATGGGATTCTTTTCGTTTTCATGATTACAACTGTTAATAATAAAAACGGGATACATGCAAAATAAATATGCCATAGTCATTTTTTAATGAGGGTAAATTAAAAAATATATTTCTTTTTATGATGCAGAAAAATATTTAAAGAATTATTAACTAGAAAATATATGAATATAGTTTCTAAAGTTCCACTATTATAGTGCTAAAAATTAAAATATAATTATTAATGTATTAAAAGATAAATTAAACCAAAGATGGAATATCTTGTCTTAATTAAAAAATTCATATATATTATTCCAAATGAATTAATATGGAATAATTTTTATTGTAAGATTAATTTTATAAAAAATACGGGTCTAGTAAACAAAACGGTCTACATTAAATTTAAGGCGTTGAAAAACTGCACCCATTGTAATTTTGGCATTAGTGGGATTCGAACCCACCTGAAAGATCGAAATCTGAACGTCATACCACTGAGCCGGAAATACGATTTCTATTTGAAACTAATATTATATTATACCTATTTGTTATAAAACAAAATAATAGTAGAACATGAAAAATGAACATAAAAATTGGTAAAAAATTTTTTCCTATTCTTTCAATA